TCCCAAATAATGCTTTGTTTTAGAACAGCATTTTGGTTAGTTTAAGAAAGGTTATAGTGAGCCAACCTTAAAATATATAGACATAAGCCGTCGCGGACTTTTTTTTAGAACTTTCAGAAGGAACCAAGAAAAAAAAACGATTTGAAACAATCTTTATTAGTATTCCACTCGTATTGGTCTAGCGTGATGTTATATCCTTCTTCAATAAATGGGCTATCTAACACCGAAAGAATTTTTAAATCGGACCAGTAGTTCCTGAGAGTAACGCGTTCAACCAAACAAATAAACAAACTCTTCAGCTTTATAATACTCTTATTAGTATAGATTTCCGTGGAATATTTTCTTCTACATAAATAAAACATATTTTTTGTGCTTATCCTCTATGCGTTCATAAATAATTCATCCGATTATGATGAAACTTGGTACAGTTGTTTTTGGCCTACCAAGGAAAACCTCTGATATAGTGCCATCAAATTTATCAAGAAATCGATGTTTTGCATACATGTAGCGGTCCTCACGGAGGAGTGTGAGGGTTAATCAAAGTCGACTAGATAGATAATTGAAAAATGTCAGTTTAATTAAATTTTGTTTTGGAATATAATAGTAAGCGTATCTGTAGTGATTAGGCGCAGAGCTAAGAAATTATTCGTGTTGTGAATACGGCAATTATTTTGATTTTATTCGTTGAAACTGGATGATTAATTTGTCGGCTCTATGGAGTTTTTGTTCGGCGATTATAAGCGAGTCGCGGACACGCGTGCCGCCGGGTTGCGTGGCCGACATATTGTTACTTATATTAACGAGTCACCAACTCGGCTTCCGTTTCGATAAAATTTATCGTTAATTACACGATTTATTTGTAATTTGCTTTACTTTGATAATTCAACTTCGCCGACAAGCTTTTGATTCGGTGTGGCTTACTAATAATTTTATTTTAGATTTAAATGTCGAATCATTTTGTGCGTACCTACGAGAGGCTAACATTTTATATTTAGAAGTATATTGTTTGTAGGTTTTTTTTTTTGAGTGCCAGTTTTCTTTTTATATATTGCGGTCTACATTAAGTAGGTTTCAATTAAATTACTTTTCCTGGCACAAGCATTGCATGATACTGATCGGTCTGCTGGTTCCCTAGCTATGGGAAAGCCAATTAGGTGTGTTTTTGGTCAGAACTGAGCCCATCCATCATTGAGCTCCGCCCTCGTTCGTTCCATTCTACTGCCCTCATACAAGAGAGCTTCACAATAGAACCTACTGCAATTTATCAATTCAAGAGAAAATAAATATGATTATATTTAAGGTGTTTACAAAACAACCTGGATCTGTATTTTATTATCTCGTCGATGTTTGATTTGCCTTTGATCCGATCACTGGGAAACGTCACAGATTCGCTCGCTGATCTGACCAAACTGAATATTTCTTTTTTTATCGAAATTGGGTTATCAATAAATTTCATATTAATTCTGATGGGTTACGAAGACATTGCGAGCTAAAAACAAATTAATATCACATAAATCGTTACGATTTTCTTAAATTAGTAAAATGAATAAAATAGTAATTAGTAGTAGATTTATTCTGCGTACTATTGTGTCTAAATTACAACCGTACATGGCTCTCCTTTGTGTGCGTTACACACTAAACAATTTCTTTTAACGTAACTTCGGTTTGTAGTGAAATTTTCTTTAATTGCACGGTAATTTTAAGGGACATCACAATGAATTATGTGTCGTATCGCGAATTTGTTTAGTTTTGACTCAGGAGTCACCTGCGTGGTGCCTGCTGACACGACATGTGCGGGTAATTTGTTCTATGGCGGCACCGTTCTTATTATACGTGTATACTCTCGCCCGAGGTGTCACCGACACCGGTAATTTCACTCGTAATTCTATAAAATTGCCGCACGCACGATGAGACGGCCCGCGGGACTGACGCACCGCCGATGATTCGAATTTGAATGATCAAAACTGTGCCGGGATTCAAATCTTCATCTATACCAAATTTTTTTTACGTAAATACTTAACTGACGCATGCTCTGCAACGACTTCCACAATAAATCTTTCGTGTGATAAAAACGAAAACGGTAAATTATAGAATTTGCGTTATTACCGACGATTTACAAGAGCTTATTGTGAGGCTGCTACCACAATCATTTATATTTCATCCACAATGGATTTTATTTATTTATTGCAACGATGGGCGAGCTCACAGCCCACCTGGTATTGAGTGGTTACTGGAACCCATAGACATCTACAACACAAATGCGCCATTGAGATATAAGTTCTAAGTTCTCATTATAGTTACAACGGCTACCCTACCCTTCAAACCGAAACGCATTACTGCTTCACGGTAGAAATAGGCAGGGTGGTGGTACTTACCTATGCGGACTCACTAGAGGTCCTACCACCAGTAATTACGCAAATTATAATTTTGCGGGTTTGATTTTTATAACACGATGTTATTTATTCCTTCACCGTGGAAGTCAATCGTGAATATTAAAAATTTTTAAGTACCTATTTCATTAGAAAAATTGGTACCCGCCTGCGGGATTCGAACACCTGTGCATCGCTCAACACAAATGCACTGGACGTCTTATCCTTTAGACCACGACGACTTCAGGCTCTTTTATTTTTCTTTGCTCGTTCGATATTATTATAATAAGATTTATGAACTGCAAACATAAAATAAAAATATTTTTCATAACAATAAACAATTTAATGTTAACACAAAATTTAGGAACATTTTCAATATTCTACAATTGACTAGAATGAAGCCGTGTGATTCATCTATGCAGTTCTGAGAAACTTGTAGGCATTGAACATTTCAATGTTGGTGCACTAAAACTTGTATAAATGACAGCCATTCAGGAACATAACAGGTACTAAAATTCTAAGATATGTTTAACGTAATGGATATGCAGGTGAACGAGAATCGTTAGTTGCCAACGGTACCTCGAGGGAGCCGTAAATCATCCATTTTACGTCAACAGTTTATAGCTAATTCCGCATCCACCGCTGCTTTATCGTCCGACTTCAACACTACAACCTTCACGCAACTCTCAGCATCAACATCTTATAAGTTAATACGAAATACAATAAAAACATCCGATTTGATTACGAGGTACTGCGATGAAACTTGATTGGTTTACATTAATTATGAAATTAAAATTCACAGGAGGAATTATTGTGATGTGAAACGCTAAGTGTGCACGCGATTTACATATACCGGTTACGTGGGAACTGTTCCCGAAAATAAAGGAATTATTTTCGACATGATGACGTAAAAATGATGATCGTTATATTTTGTATTCACTGCACGCAATGTATTGGATACAGTTATAGTCTATACTTCTCTACTAATATTATAAAGAGGAAAGATTTGTTTGTTTGTATTGAATAGGCTCCGAAACTACAGAACCGATTTGAAAAATTCTTTCACTGTTTGGAAGCTACATTATTCCTGACTGACATAGGGTATAATCTTTTTTGAAAAAAATTAGGGATCCTTACTCAAACTCCAATAACGTAACCCAAGGTGTAAAAAAATTACCTAAAATATTCTTTACATCACGCGCCCTGCGAAAACTAATGATGATAGAATAAAATAATGTACTACGACTTTGTTATTATTATTTACAAAATGTGTCGCGACAGCATATGTCTAACTATTATAGTTATACCGCAATAAGTGTTATTTTATTTAAAAAAATAAAACAACAAACAAAAAAAATTAAAAAAATAATCAAATAACGTTGAAATTTTTGTTAAAAACCCGAGCGGACCCGGAGCGGGCCGCTAGTGCATAATAAAGAACGAAGTCAACGGTGTGCATGAGCCGGCCAGCTGCCTCAGATTTCGATTTCGAGATGTTAAATTATGAACTATTAAAATCAATACATTTCAGCTGAGAAATTTAAGAATTTTAATTTCGTATTAAGAATTTGAAACCTTCCATTTTATATACCTTTAAACGAACTTAGTTCTATAATCGAATATTAATATGCTTCAGTAAACAAATCTCTATAGTACCGTGTGAAGTTGACTACGTCGCTTAACTACTTTGACATAGATGTAATTAATATACTATCCAAAACAATATTAGTCGTAATTACCTAAGCCAAACAGTTACCTAACCTATCTTATTAATTTCATTATCATTTGAGAAGCCGTAATGTAAGGCTGTGCAAAACGTGGAAGTAAAAAAGGCTTTTATTTTCTACCTATGCTGATAGCCTTGAGAGGCTATTTCAGCTTCGCCCTAACATGTAGGTGAGCTCACGGGGCTTAAACCGAAAGTGTTGCTAACACTGACTCTAGCAAGAGCAGTGCTTCACAGAATCTACCACTGGATCGGAAACGCGACTCACTGAGAAGATCCGGCGAGAAACTCAGTGGGCTGTAGGGCTTCTATACCTAGACATTTTTGTTAATTATGTTACGTTGGTTTGCTTTAAAAATATTAATAATAATATTAATAGATATTAATGATCGCCCTTTTGTTGAAATTCGAGTATAGCCACTAACAACATATGATTTAGATTCATTTTAAATATTAAATTTTCTCTTTTGTTTGTTCTTGAAATTATTTTAGTAAAGTGGAGAAGAATTTGTTAATTTTCAAAAAGTAGATAGAACTCATCAATATCTTTTATTAACAATCTAATATATATGTAAATAAATACTAAAATTTGGGCGCCGGAAAGGAGAAAAAAATATTGAACACAACAAAATACTTATGCCTATTTTTATGTAGATTTAAAAATAGCTTTCTACTTTTTTTTAGGGTTAAGTGTCAGCCTATTAATCGTCAGCCCTATTAACTAGAAATGATTTCGCGTTTCGCATTTTCCCCGTATTTCCCTCCTCGATATTAGGCCGATTATCAAGTATCCAGTACGAGTCTGCCTGTGTTGGATCTATAAGATTTTGGGGTTAAGCTACTAAATGTATTTCGATCAGGACTTACGGGTTCGCTTTAGTTATAAAATTGTAGCATTTGCATACCTGTCCGTTTTTGTCCATTTCGTTGTTGGTGAGTTTGACCTTCTCGAAGGAGACGACCTGCTTGCGGAGCTGGTCGCCGGAGAAGGGCGAGTCGGGATGCGGGTAGAGCCGCGCGGGCGCTGGCGGGTCCGCCTTGCCGGCGACGAGCCACGAGGAGCGGTGGTACGCGTACCGGTAGCGCTTGCCGTCCACCGGCACCACGTCCAGCAGCACGCCGTACCGCGCCTCCGCCCGGCAGCCGGCGAACGACACGCGCACCGTCGGAAACATTCGCCTTTAAACAAACAAAACAAAAACATAATAATACGCTTTTATTAGCTTCAGACGTATGTATGTGTGTTTGTAACGGAATCTTTGAACATGATTTTGACCCCGTTCAAAACGTCGGATTAACTCGAAATTTGGTATACTTATTAAGGACCGATGAAAATTCAATATTAAAAAAAAATATTGAAATAATTGAAATTCAACTAAAAAATGAAAAATAAATAATAGTTTAAAAAAACTATAATAACAAAATACGCTTTTAAAGAAAATCCAACTAAAAAAAGAAAATAAATTTTAATAAGTTTGAATTAAAAATAGTGTAAGAAAAAATGATTTTATTGTAAAACAAGTGTGAGGTGTATGGTACCATCATCATCATCATCATTCCTTCCTATTAACCTCTGCTGGAGTGTAGGGCTCGAATCAAATTTTTCCATTTACATCGGTCTTGGGCAGTCTGTTCTAGCTCCTCCCACGTCATGCCCAAGACCCCTAGCTCCTGCTCCACCGAGCGACGCCAAGTTGTTCTGGGGCGGCCTCTCTTCCTCTTGCCAGACACTTTCCTGGTCAGTGCTCTCTTTGATAGGTGGGTATCGGGATTTCTCAAAATGTGACCAATCCAATGCCACTTCCGCGTAAGGATCTCCTTCTCCATTGGTATCTGCTTAGTGACCCTCCACAGCTCTTTGTTGCTGATCTTCTCAGGCCAAAAGATTTTCAAAATCTGACGCAGGCTCCTATTCACAAACACTTGAAGTTTTCTTATCAAGTATGGTACCAGTAGTTATAAATATTTTATGAACAGATATGAGTAGAAAGGTTATTTTGATAATATCCTGAAAAGCATCCCACGTTTTTTTACAATAAAATATTTTTTTCTTACACAACATATTTATAATTGAAATATATTAAAATTTATTTTCTATTTTTTAGTCGGATTTTCTATAAAAGCGTGTTTTGTTAGTTTTTTTAAACTATTATTTATCTATATATTAATACGTGAAGCAAATACTTTGTATCCCTTTTTACGAAAATTGCGCGGACGTAGGAGTATGAAATTTCCCACACTTATAGAGAATATAGAGAAGGAGTGCACAATGCTAATATTTTTTTAAATAATGCATAAAAGATACATTAAATCAATAAAGAAAACATTACACACACTACCATGTATTTGACACACACAGGCATACATAGTATTTGTTTAATGTCAAACTTTTCTTATTGCATAAAGTCTATGGTCAAATTGAGAATACATTAAATATTGTTTGTTCTAATATTTGTCTAAAGTGTGTTTTTGGCGAAGTCTATGATTATAGAAGTCTTTGAAAATAGAACCATAATAATGTACAAACTTATAATTTCAATTAATTATAGTCGAATTTCGACTACCGGGGGACTACTAGTTCAATTAAACAGTTAAACGTAACTCTTTATACAGACAAAACAAAATATCTGTTATGTTATTGTGACAAATTATAACCGCACAAAACGTAGGTTTAAACCTTAAATTCATCGGATCCGACGAAGCGGACCTCACCGCGCTAATGACCTCATAAGAACCGACCGAAAACTAAATTAGACATAACGAATACAAAAAGCTTATAATCCCCGAAAGTGTTTTACGAGACCAAAACACATGCTCGCAATAAAAAAAGATGATTAATGCATCTACAAAAAAAAAAAAACGAACGGAGATCGGCCGTGGACGGTGACTTGTATAATTACAGGGTGAAACGCGAACTAGGAAATCAAACAAATATGATGTATTCGATTTTAATGCACCCCTAAATGGGCCGAAGCGCTTCCTGCCAGCCAGTACGCGATAACATCTCCGTCGTTTATTTATTACGTCGCCTCTCTCGATATTATGTTATTATTATTTTTATTTTATTTGAGCGGATTTTATCTATATATTAATACGTGAAGCAAAAGCTTTGTACCTACCCCTTTTTACGAAAATTGCACGGACGGAGGAGCATGAAATTTCTCATACTTATAGAGAATATAGAGGAGTGCTCAATGCTAATATTTTTTTTTAAATAATGCATAAAAGATACTTTAAATCAATAAAGAAAACATTACACACACTACCATGTATTTGACACAAAAGATACATAAAAAAATATACTCTTTGTTTACTGTCAATTGGGAAACTTTTGTTATTGCTTAAAGTCTGTGGTCGAATTGAAAATAGATTAATATTGTTTAGTCTTTAATATTATTGATCTATAGTGCAGTTTTGGTGAATACTGCTATTATATTATCGAAATATAATAGTGTTTGACAATAGAACCTTAATAATGTTTAAACTTATAATTTCAATTAATTATATTCGAATCTCGACTACTGCGGGGCCACTAGTAATTCTAATTCCTTTATACGTTATCATTTATATCGGTTCGTTTTAAACAAACAATAATTTAACACGTTCTGCTTTAAGCACGTATCATATAAAGGTCAGGTAAAGTAAGCCGTCGTGGCGAAAGGGAAAGGCGACCGGTGCATTCGTATCAAGCGATGGACTCATTCTCCGTTTAGATCGGGCAGTATCAATATTTCTGAGGAAATGTCTTGTTACTTTGCCCACTGAGTTTCTCGCCGGATCTTCTCAGCGGGTCGCGTTTCCGATCCGGTGGCAGATTCTGCGAAACACTGCTCTTGCTAGTCAGTGTTAGCATCACCCCAGTTTGAGCCCCGTGATCTCACCTACTAGTTAAGATTACGCTGAAATAGCCTCTCAAGGCTATCAGCTTAGGTAGAGAAAAAGAAAGAAAGAAAAAAAAGTACGTCATACGTGGTCACGAACGACTCTGCGATGAAAGTTAACGTTGTGTAACAAAAACATGAAAGTTACAAAATATTTAAATATGCATAATTACTAGTGATAAAATGTTGTATACGGGTAGATACCATCATCGTGCTTAATTCTGATGTGCAACCGATTAGGTTTGTTGGGTAGGGCCACTATTGAGACTTAAACTTTATGTCTATGGGATGCAGCAGTATTATTATTAGTATTCCACCAGATGGAACAGGAATAAAAATGATTTTATTCAGTAACAAATTCATGTTGACCAAACAAATATTTTAAAAACAAATCGTTTCTTGTTTTAAAATTCCAGAAGTGAATACAGTGAGTTATTAGAGATAATAAAATGGGGACTAGTTGTCAACTGCCTTCGAGTCGTGTTTCATATTATTAATAGTTGGAAAAGTTATAAAATCGGATACCGAGCTTTGGTCCGTCGATAAAACAAGTAATACTGGAGCTCCGAGAACTGGCAATAAATAAATCGTATAAAGGAGTAGATTTAATGTTCAATGGCCTTCGATTGTTTCTGGAGCCAATCGATGGTCGCCCGTACCCAGTAATTACGCAAATTAACTACTTCTTAGGCGTTGTTTTGTAACACTACTTTATTTCTTGATTGTGTAATTCGCGAAAATATGTCAAGTGTGTAGTGTGTGTAGTTACTTTTATAAATCGGTACTTATCAATGTATGGTCTCACCCAGCGACACCACCGGATATCTCACCATAGACCACCAATGTACTTTTTTTTATTACTTAAATGGGTGGACGGCTCACAGCCTACCTGGTGTTAAATGGTTACTGGAGCCCATAGACATCTACAACGTAAATGCGCCATCCACCTTGAGATATAAGTTCTAAGGTCTCAGTATAGTTACAACGGCTGCCCCACCCTTCAAACCGAAACGCATTACTGCTTCACGGCAGAAATAGGCAGAGTGGTGGTACCTACCCGTGCGGACTCACAAGAGGTCCTTCCATCGGTAGTATCGCGAATGTGTATGTGTTTATTGAATGTACGTTATCGGCCCACCGATATCGCGAGCCTGTTTGACACTAAAGTCGATTGCGTTTATGAGCTCGTGTCGTTAAAGCGAGTGCAGCGCGACATCGGTGTCGTGCCACCCAGAGCGTTCGAGTAATGAGTCGCATCCATCACTTACGACATTGGATCACAATCGATCCCGCCAGCAATGGTCGCAATCTCGCCAATTAAAACCTAGCGCATATTGTAAATCCAGTACGGGCAATTTCCTACGCGCGGAACTAAACGCTCACTGCACGATATTGACAAAACCTTCACCTTTTCGCAAAGCTTCCTTTAGAGCAGCCTTTCCCAAAGTGAGCGATAACGCTCCTTTGTGGACGCTGTAGGCCTAAAGGGGGGCGGTAAGAGACCCAGAAAAAAAGGGGGCGTTGTGTAGAGGCTTGGGAGGCGATTTGTAATTTGATCTAGGAAAACTATTAGACACCGATTGAGCTTTCGCTATAGTGGTTTTCAGGTAGGTGAAAAAAAGGGGCGCTAAAAAAGAATTTATTCACAAAGCGGGCAATAGACAAAATAAGTTTGGGAGCTCCTGTTCTAGAGCGAGATAAAGATAGACGAAGAATACACGCCTGAGCTAGTTTCGTGTATGACACATCAATGTTAAAATTACTTTTCACAAAACTAAGCTGAAACATGAATTCCAAAGAAATTATATCTGTAAAACACCAGTAAATTCATTTCAAGACAATTTGTTTGAATACGTTAGTTCCAACGTCAACGATCGACCGACCAAACCTTATTTACATATTTCATTAATAAACGTCCAATCGCGATGTCCTCGGATAAACTTAACACACACAATGCAAATACCAGTTGACGTAACGATAAATGAGTAAGTTTACACAATAATTCATATTGATTATCTGAACAGCTGTTTATTTTGACTTCTACTACCCAACTTAATAATTATTTGGTGATAATTTCTCAAATATTCGTTTTAAACACTTCTGGTAAGCGATGAAGTTCATAACTTGCATTAGTTTCAAACGATTTCCAATGCAAAGAAGTTATTAAATTTGTTTAAATCAATAACTTGAGGTTATGTCTGCGATTGGCATCTAGGATTGTCCCCATTCGCAAGCATGATTTAAAACTGGGTTATATTAGACGGATACCAAATTTTGCTGAACCTACAATGCTGA